GTGCTGTTAATATTTTTGAATTTATAGAACTTCATTTATGTATTGTACATACTTTATTTGTATAACATTTCTGTAAATTTCCTGGGGGTGGTAAAAAAGTATAAGCAGTTTGTTGGAGATTAATCTCTATATACTAATAGTTTAAAACTATCAATTGTAGAGCATCAAGATAGGTGTGCATGCAGATATTCCTGGAGGGTTGAATACCCAGGAATGTCATGGAAGCTCCATGCCCCTTCTCCTATACTTCACCTTACCCAACTCCTCTGCGTACATTTTAATTGCCTTTATAATGAACCAGTAACTGTAGATGTTTCCTTGAGCTCTGTAAGCCACTCCAGAAAACTGTGACCCTAAGGAAAAACTCTAACAGCATTGAAGAATGAGCTCTCAGGTGTGACCAGAATAATTAAAGATTTTAATGATCATTGAATGCATTTTCCTATTCTTGTTAATTTTTATGGCTTAACTTGTCCTGAAACATAATTAGTCTAAAGCAAGAGTTAGCTTCAAGCTTTGAATCTCATTAAAAATAAAGAATTGCTATGTTCTTTAAATCTTATTCACAGTAAATACAATGTATTTTCTTTTTCTGAGAATTATTTCATAACTATCTATAAGAATGCTTACTGTTTTAGGGATGTTAAAATCTGTTGGGATTCTAAACAAATGGCCTAAAATGCTAATGATTTTAAATGTTCAAAATATATTTTACGTCTTCAATATTTAAGTATTGCATTCTTAAGTTTTTCTGTCCTTGTTTAATATTTAATAATTATAGTCTTGACATGGTAATGTATTTTCATTATACTTTAATTAAAGTTAATTGTTAACTATGAACAACATGTGCAGTACCAATATATGAAGATTTGGGGTAAATAATAGTATCAGTAAAAGAACAGGTTATTAACATAAGTAATATGGCTTTTAGTAGTTCAAGACATAACTAAAGACAAATCTGTACAAAGCAAAATTTTCTGGGGCGAATAAAGTGCTTTTGTAGAGAAGTATGTAAAAGCTATTTTGCAGGGGATACACTGTTACTCTGAATAAATGCTTAATCTTGAATGGGGTCAGGTTCTACTTGGTGTAAATCAAAAAGTATCTGAGACAGATCTCAGTCAATTTCAAAGCTTGTTTTGCCAAGGTTAAGGAAACATTCCCATGACACAGTTGACACAGTCTCAGGAGGACCTGAGAACATGTGCCCGTGGTAGTCAGACTACAGCTTGATTTTATATGTTTTAGGGAGACAGAAGACATCAGTGAATACATATATGATGTATACTGGGGGTCGGGCGCGGTGGTTCACGCCTGTAATCCCAGCACTTTGGGAGGCCGAGGCGGGTGGATCACGAGGTCAAGAGATCGAGACCATCCTGGTCAACATGGTGAAACCCCGTCTCTACTAAAAATACAAAAATTAGCTGGGCATGGTGGCACATGCCTGTAATCCCAGCTACTCAGGAGGCTGAGGCAGGAGAATTGCCTGAATCCAGGAGGCGGAGGTTGTGGTGAGCCGAGAATGCACCATTGCACTCCAGCCTGGGTAACACGAGGGAAACTCCGTCTCAAAAAAAAAAAAAAGATGTACATCGGTTCAGTCTAGAAAGGCAGGACAACTTGAAGTGGTGGGAGCCAGTAGGGTGGCAGGATGTACAGCTTCCAGGCCATAGGTGATTTCAAAGGTTTTCTGATTGGCAATTGGCAAAGATTTTCTGATTGGCAATCAGTTATCTAAGACCTGGAATCAGTAGTAGGGAGTGTCTTGGTTAAGAAAAGTGGTTGTGTTATGAGACCAAGGTTTTTATTATGTAGATGAAGGCTCCAGGTAGCAGATTTAAGAGCAAGTAGATTATTTTATGGTCTCTGTTTTAAATTCCCATCATGGCCTGAACTTGTTTCAGGTTAACTTTCAAATGCCACTAGCTGAGTAGAGGAGTCCATTCAGTTGGTTAGGAGGACTTAGAATTTTACTTTTGAGTTACAGTGGTGATAGCTTGGTTTTTCAATCAACTTAAACTATCTACCTAATGGGACAACGAGGACTGGTGTTTCGGGGTTACTGTTGGTATCTCAAAATTCAAGCTTAATTAGAAAATTAATATGGCTAAAATACTAGACATGTTAATTTTCAAGGTGCTCTTTCTGTATTGTCTTCTTTTGCCATAAAAATTGTCTGGTTTGTGTTTTGAGTAACAACTGAGGAAATGGTAATGCCTGGACACCTATATAGGCCTGAAAGTAAAAAGTGTTAATAGGTGTTGTAAGACTTCTGATGGACACTATGGAAAGCCAAGCCCAGGAGTCAGATGTGATGAGGCTGGTAGGTGGTACTGGAACTATTGCAACTCTTGAAGATGTCAGAAAGAGGAATCCATGGATTTTCATTCTTGTAGTCCTCAAGTTAAATGACTCAGCTAGCTTTCCATTGGACTGGTTCTTTCTATTTCTGTGACAACTGACTTCCTCTGCATATTGTTTATGCAACACTTGACTTATCACAGCCTTAACAATACCTTATGACTTCCTTAATCTGTCTTAGCTGAGAACTAGCTGGGTTTCTCTGGAGGTTCCCAGTTCAGATCTCCCAAGAGAAATTCAACAGCCCAGATTTTATTTTAAAGTTAGAATTATTTAGTTATTCTTTACCCTGGACTTTTCATATCCTGTGTATTAGTCTGTTCTTACATTGTTATAAAGAAATACCTGAGACTGGGTAATATATAAAGAAAAAAGGTTTAATTGACTCATGGTTCCACAGGCTATACGGAAAGCATGGCTGGAGAGGCCTCAGGGAGCTTCCACTCATGGTAGAAGGCAAAGCTGGTGCATGCATCTTCACACGGCCAGAGCTGGAGGAAGAGAGAGAGGGGGAGAGGTGCTACACACTTTTAAACAACCATATCTCACAATAACTCTATTATGAGAACACTAGGATGGTGGTAAACCATTTGAAACCACCCCATGAGTCAATCACCTGCTACCAGGCCCCACTTCCAGCATTAAGGATTATATTTCAACATGAGATTAGGGTGGGAACACAGACCCAAGACATATCCAGTAACTGGGAAATGATGATAATGGAAAAATCATTAAAAGGATGGTTGCTAATGCCAGAGCTGCATCCAAGCTGTGGTCCACTTACCTCTGGGCTTCAGGCTGCAGACACCTGTAGACTGCTCTCTGAGAGAAAAATCTATCTCATTTAAGCAATCGTATTTAGGGATATGTCAATTATAGTACCTTAGTCTTCATCTTGATTAATTTAGTAATTGTTTACCTTCAAATGTGGTTACTACCATAACAAATTCACTAGCTACAATGAATTAATTAGTTTTACATAAAATAAACATGAGTAAATCTCATAAAGTTGAGTTTCTCATAATTTAGCCAAACTTTAACATAACATACAGTATTTATTTTTTATAAGAGCATATGCAATTTTAAAAATGTTTAAAAATATGCACGAGGCAGATATGTAACTTCTGTATAGTGGTTACCTTGAGTGAGAAGACAGGAAGAAAGGAAGTTAGCTGAAGCTTTAATAATAAGTAAATTAAAATAAATAATATATTATTTATAAAATGGCCTGAAGAAAATTGGACAAAACATTTATATCTGTTTAATGTTTAGGGTTAGTCCCATAGGCATTTTGCTTATTTCTTCGTGTCCTTCATGTTTGAAATGTTTCAGAACTAAATATTTTTTATAGTTGTGTCTATGGTAAACATTAACCTTCCTCCTAAATTTGGTTTCCAACCCAATAACTCGGTCTATCTTCAGAGATCTCCTCGATCATGAGTACCTTTTATCATTTTAGGAAACTTCTAAGACTATATTGTTTAATGCATGAGGCATTAGAAATATGACTAATCCAAACTGAGATATACTATAAGTGTAAAACACACATTGGAATCTAAAGAAATATAACACAAAAGAATGTAAATTATATCATGAATAATCTATTACATGACCAAATGATAATTTAAATATATTGAATTAAGTATATTAGAAAAATTAAATTTACCTTGTGGGTGGATCATGAGGTCCAGAGATCGAGACCATCCTGGCCAACATAGTGAAACTCCGACTCTACTAAAAAACAAAAATTAGCTGAGTGTGGTGACACATGCCTGTAGTTCCAGCTACTCAGGAGGCTGAGGCAGGAAAATTGCTTGAGCCCAGGAGGTGGAGGTTGCAGTGAGCCAAGATTATATCACTGCACTCCAGCCTGGCACCTGGTGACAGAGCAAGACTGTGTCTCAAAAAAACAAAATGTGACTACAAGAAAACTATAAATTGGATAAATTAAATGTTTTATCCACTACCATACAGCTATTTTCCTATTATAGGTAACCCCCAGTGACTATAAAGTCTCAGTGACTAGTGTACTCTCAGCAATTATAAAGACTATAAATTCTTTACAAGTCTGGACCTCTTTCTATACTCGGGGCAGATAATGCTATTTTTAGGAGATACAGTTAGAATAAGTGTCATAAGGTGACAGGTCCTGATGATATTGTGTTTAGAAGGAAACATCATGATGTCTTCGGTAGCCTATTCTTAATGTCCCATAGTTTTGAGGTAAGTGACATTATTATGCAATTGCTCTCAAACGTGGCCACAGGTCATAATTACATGGAGTGTTTTAGAAATAGAGATTCCTAGGCTCAACTCTAGAGTCAAATTTTTTTTTTTTTTTTAAAGGAACCACACTTTCAAAAGGAAATTAGGTTTATCTGGGTAAGAGAATCGTAGTTATAAAGTGTAGGGTTTCTCAATTAAAAAAAATAGTTTGTTAAATGAAAAAAAGGATATTTTATATAATCAATGAATATATGTAGAATTTAGTAATGAAGGTTTTGATTAAGGAATGGTGGAATTATTTGTTCTTTTTCAATATTTGTCAATAAATATTTCTCAAAATAGTGAAAAAATTATGAAAGCCATGGTAATGAGTTTGAAATGTATCTACATAATAGTCTATTCATTTTCAGATTAATTTTTTAAAGACTGAAGTTGAAAGAAAGAGCAAAATGATCCGAGACCTCCAGAATGAGGTAAGATTTATTATATCTTAGATACATTTTACATAAATCAAAAAATGCACATAAGTGAACATATAAATTTGCCACAAGTTTAAAGTATTAAACACATGCAAATTTGATTTTCAATTTTAGACTAATATAGAGAAACTGTTAGGCTAAGAATTTCAAAAAGTGGTTAATCCTTACATTTATATATATTTGATAATTTACAGATATTATACATATTTGATAATAAACTTCTCTAGTTCATTTTTCTTTCTAACTGTATTTTGCTTAGCTGATATTAAAAATCAATTTTCATTTAATAAATTTACATATTTGTTTAATAAATGACATTACAGGCACTGAAGAAGAAAGTTAGATAGAAATTGGATGCATGTTAAAAAGGGCCAATCTAGAATGAAAAATGTGTTTAAGGATAATCTCAAAATAATATAAATTTAAATATAAACAAGTTGTAATCATTTTCATGATAGCCTTTTAAATGTAAGAATCCTATTAAGTACTGCATTCATTTTTCTCTTTTGATTTATTTATCTTGTTATACAGCTACTTTATTTTCTGTAATTTCTCTATTACCTGTTTCCACCTTTTAATTTCCTTTTTATTAAATGCAATTAGTTAAGACCATTGAGCCATGACTAATTCATGATAACTCTTCCTTGATCAATCTCACTAATTATGGCTTATTTTGAATCTTTAGTCAATCTCCATAGCCTTTATTAATCAATCTTGCTTGCTTACTTCCTTTTTTCCTTCTTTTTTCCCTTCTGCTCTCCCTACCTTCCTCTTTTTTGACCTAATTCCCTCCTTCACTTGTTTTCTTTTTTCCTTTCTTCTTTTTTTCTCCTTCTCTCCATCCCTTCCTTCCTTCTTTTTTAATTTATTAAGACATTTACACAGCAAACAAACTTTATTTTTCTTAATTGACTTCCTCCTTGATATAAAAGTTAAAAGACTTTATAAATGCTTTGGTATAACTATTTGGAATCAATAGTCTGACTATGACATTAAAATAATTTTTCAAATGTAGAGGAAAAGTACAATAGAAAACAGTAAGAATCATTTTAAATATTTCTTGTGATTATAATATATTTTAATTTTATTTATTTCTAATTATCTTCTGAGTCTTCTCAAGAAAGCATGATGGGTGAACTTGATAAATCTTTCCCCTGAGGCTCAATTTTTCTAGACATCCTGATTATGATGGAAAAATATCAGTAGACCGGAGTTATCAGAATACTGGGTGTAATAGATAATATTTGTTTGTTGGGATCATTTAGGGCTCAGTGAGAAAGCCAGATTACTCAAATCAAAAAGTGCTCATGTACCATTTAAAACAAGGAAAACATTTAAAACAAGATTAGAGTCAGTTTTAAAATAGGATAAGGAGTACATTTATATATATACACACACACACAAACAGTAATATGAACCCAGTTGTATGATCATAAGAGAATTTCAAGTTAATTTTTATCTTTATGTAAGTAGCATCAGTTCACTTTAAATCTTAGATAACTTCTTAAAATCTGGAATTCAACTAAGGAAAAAGTTCTTTGAAAAAACCTACTAGACTGGGCACAGTGTCTCAAAACTATAAGCCCAGCACTTAGGGAGGCTGAGGCAGGAGGACGGGTTGAACCCAGGGGTTCGAGACCAGCCTGGACAACATGGTAAAACCTCATCTCTATTAACAAAAACAATTAGCTGGGATTGGTGGCACACTTGTTGTCCCAGCTTCTTAGGGGGCTCAGGCAGGAGGATTCCTTGAGGATGAGAGGTTGAGGTTGCAGTGAGCTGTGATCACATCACTGCATTTCAGCCTGGGTGACAGAGCAAGACACTGTCTCTATTAAAGATTTTTAAAAAATAAAAATTAAAACAACAATAACAAAAACCTACTTGGCTGGCTCATACCTATAATCCCAGTGCTTTGGGAGGCCAAGACAGCAGTGCTTCTTAAGGCCAACAGTTCCAGGTCAGCCTGAGCAACATAGTAAGATTCCATCTTTACCAAATAAATAAATAAATAAATGCAAAACTGTGAATTATTTATAGCAAGTAACAAAATACTTTGTCTTTGGAGGTTGTTTTTATAGTGAAATTGTACTTTGGCAGCTACAAAGGCTAGAATAATTCAGAAAGAAATACACCTCTCCAGAAATAAGATCTGCTAAATATAAGTTTTGTAATTAAATGTGCTACTATTCACTTTAATACTATTGAGAACTTATGAAATGAAAATCCATAACCAAAAAGGTTTCATCTTTTTACAAAACCTAATAATGAACATATATTAGCAATTCAGTGTTTTCAATTTTACCCCTTCATATTGATTTAATTTTTAGCAAAAAATCAGTATGGATATAAAGATGAAGCAGATTTATTTAACAGAACAATTGGTCTATACCCTGTAGTGAAGTTATATGGGCACTGCTTGGAAGATTTTTAGTTCAGGCATAAGAAAAAAACCAGCTAAATGGATTAAACAAAATACAGTGGTGAGGGAGATAAAACAGATACAAATAAATTTCTGGAAGAAGTTTGAAGTCCTTTGAGTGGTGACTTTTGGCTGAGGGAATTGGGGAAGTCCCAAAAAATGAAGGCGAAGTCCCTCCTATGCTTATTTTGTTAAGAGTTTTTATCATAAAGGGATGCTGGATTTTATCAAATGCTTTTTCTGCATCTATTGAGATAACCATATGCTTTTTAAAAATTCTGCTTATGTGATGTACCACATTTATTGACCACATATGTTAAGAAATGAGATAGACGGCAATGCAATAATTTTTGTATTTTTAGTAGAGAAGGAGTTTCTCTGTGTTGCCCAGGGGGGTCTTGCATTCTTGGGCTCAAGAGATCCACTCACCTCAGCCTCCTAAAATGCTGGGATTACAGGTGTAAACCACGGTGCCCTGCCAATCAGAGTATTTCAAGTACTTGTCTTTCTTCTATCTCCACAGCTACCTCTATCTTCTCATGGGCGCCACTTGTAACTGCTGAATTGTACTGTTATGACTTTCAAAAGCTCTATTGTGATTTATGTGGTCTCTTAAGTCTCAGGTTTTTGGCTCTCTGCTTTTCTCTTTATATACTTTTTTTTCAGACATTCAAGTCAAATCTATGCTGCCACAGTGTGTATTTCCTTGCATCAATCATCATATTAGCATTTAACAAGTAGTAAAATAATGTCAGCAAAGCTTTAAAAATCATTCGCTTTTCTTTCCAATATGTTGAATTTTGAAGCAGTCACACAAAAGCCTTTTCAAATTTTAAAGAAATTTGTTATAAATACAAAAACTTAAGAAGAGGATTGAAAATGTACAGAAGGGCTTCCTTTTAGTGCTTGTAGTGATAGTTATTGCATTAAGACTCTTATGTTTTTTGCTGGCTAAGATGTGAATACAGAAGTTTATGTTAAGACTTTTCCTCTGCATTAAAACAAGAGATTAATGAAAAATCTGCATCAAATTTTAACTTTGTTAGAAGTCAATTCCCTCCAGGATCTACTTACCAAAGGAAGAACACTAAATCCTGAGTATAAGGTGCAAAGAGTCAAATGACTATGTGATGTTTGAGATAAATGGTAAAAATATTGTACTTACACTTTTATTAGTTTTGTTATTATTTTTCTTAATCAATTTTCTTTCGAGACAGAATCTCACTCTGTCGCCCAAGCTAGAGTGCAGTAGTATGATCTCTGCAACCTTCACCTTGAGGGTTCAAGTAATCATCCTGCCTCAGCCTCCTGAGTAGCTGGGAGTACAGGTGTGGGCCACCACACCCAGCTAATTTTTATATTTTTAGTAGAGCTGGGATATCACCATGTTGACCAGGCTGGTTTTGAACTCCTGACCTCAGATGTGATCCACCCACCTCAGCCTCCCAGAGTGCTGGAATTACAGGTGTGGGCCACCACAGCTGGCCTGTTACTGGTTTTTTTTGAAGTTCTGGTAACAATGTTAGATAGTAAGTGGTCTTCCCCAATCCCATCCCTACAAAATTTGTATTTTTAGTATGTAATTTGTAGAATATGAGATTTCCCATGTGCAAAATTGGACTTACAATTGATATATCACCAGTTTTCAGGTAACTTTGTAATCTGTGTCTCTAGTTCTAATCTCTCTTATGTAATCCTTCTTTTAAAAAGGTTAACTGATATACAGTACTATTCGAAGAGTTTATTTGAGCAAACAACAATGCCTGAATTGGGCTTTTCTGAATTAGAAGTGGTTCAGGAGCTTCACTGAGGAAATACAGTGGAAGGTTTTTATATGGCTACAACAGAAGTGAAGCAAAGAAAGTATCTGGTGGATTATAGTTAGTTGCTATATTTGGTCTATCCCATTGAAAAATCTCTAGTTATAAAATTACAAGTTTGTTTCTTCTGTTTGTTTAAGCTGAGCTCTATTTTTCTTTAATATAGGCATTTATTTAAAATGGCTCACCTTAAGTTTTCATATGCTTGCAAATCAAGCAAAGATAAGGTGACTTATAAAGCCTAATTGGCTTTGTTTGCTCAAGGATTCTTCAGGTCTCGCCTCCATTTTAATTTGTTTTAACACATCTTTGTGCTTTCAATGTTTATTTTGCATTTTGTGTTTGAATATTGTATGGTTGCAAAAAATAAACAATTTTGCACCAGAAAATAAATAAAAACAAGGAAACAAATGAAAATTTCAGCCTCCCTTCTCAACTTCCATTCATATGGTAACTGTCTCATTATGTAGTCAATCTTGTATGCTTCAAAGTTCAAAATTTATTCTGGCTTTCACTTTCAAAACACCCTTCTCCATTATCTATTCAATAATTTTGAATTGTATTTATTTTATCCCTAAGATAAAATCAGTTTGTCTGTAATGGTCTGAGATATAAGACAGGCTCAAGAATCAGTATGATAACATGTAAGTCTATGAAATATTAGGCAAATCAGGCACTGGGACAAGCATCTTTAAGTAGTTGAAAAATTTATTTTTTCTTTTTTGGAGACAAGGTCTCATTCTGTCACCCAG